TCCCGATCCTGACTAATCGGAAATTTTTTCCAATCCCGACTAAGTCGGGACGGGACCGGGATTTTTTTTTAAAAAAAGTCGGGATCGGGAATATCCCGATATCCCGACATTTTATGTATATATATACATTTATATATATATATATATATATATATATATATATATATATATATATATATATATATATATATATATGAATATATAAAAAATGAATATATATCTAAATATTTGCATATCTTTTTTAATTACTTATTCCTTACATAGATTAATCTTTTACTACGAGTATCTTACAATATCAAACTTCTAAAACTATTCGGCGCCATTTATCTGAAATTGAATATTTGGGATCCTAACTAAATAGAGATTATTCTTGATCTCGACAATCTAAATCACAACAATATTACAAATTTTGCGGTTCTAATGAACTCTTCAAAAAATCATGATCGAGACTAAGATTTCTTTCTTTAGTAAATAATCATAATATGTATTTGTACTTTATATTCATTGGTCACAAAGTTTCTCAATGAGTCTACTTAGTTTTGAATTTTAAATAATATATGTTACACATCCTTCTTTTAGTGATTTTTATATAATGTTTGAAGTAAGTTTCACTAAACCTTGATAGCTTATTTAAAAATCATACTATTAATTAATCAAAGTTACAAATAAAAATTATTCTAAAAGTATGTACTAGTGTGAATTTGAGATGATAATTATTACAATAAAATTTATAAGTAGATGATGATAAATATGGTATAACGATGAACAAAGAATAATCTTGAAACCACTAAATATCAAAGTTAGTGTTTAACTAAAGAATTGAAACACATGCCCCTATATGAAAATGGCCCAAACCACATGTACGTTTTCTGTACTTTTCCCTATTTTAAACGAGTATGGATCTAAATTTTATTCTGTTTACCCGGACTCAATTCAATACCCGCTAGTATACTTTTAATAATTGGGTCGCGTATGCTACGTATGATTCCGACCCGTTAATGATTCGTCCCAATTCAAAATTCTTTTTTAGTACGAGTATATATAATATATATACACACCGACACACGAATACATACCAACAAGTGGAAAGTAGCAAAGTCAAATCTTTTTTATATTTGAATTAAAACTCATATAAGACATTCAACGTGTTGTTTAAATTAATTAAATTCCAACAATGCCAAAACCCCCCTTTACATACCACTTTCATAAAAAAAGAATTATTCATTTCTCTGTGGATACGAACTCTACTACACTATTTTACGTATAAATGTTAAGTACTGAATTTATTTTGAGGCACACAACGACTTTAGTGCCGTCAACTAGGCTCATTTTTTGGCCGACTAGGACAATTAGTCTCTACTCTCTACAGTTAAGGTAGACTGGGTCGACTAAGCCGATTAATCGGTCTTACAAGGTCGGTTTTTAGAATAGTGATTATTATTGTTGTTATTATTAGTACTATATTATTACTCCCTCCGTCCCGTTGGAATGTTCCCGTTCGATTTACGATGCTTGACTGACGATAAAGCAACTCGATCCCTGTTCACACTCCGCTTATTTTTAGTAAATAAAATTTACATATTCAGAAACTACATTAAAACCGTACAAAGCCTGATCAAGAAAAGTTTAATTTGATAAAAATTTGATATATAAAGTAAAAGATTAGGAGTGACCTAAGTTGAGCAATGAATAGTGAATGGGAACATTCCAACGGGACGGAGGGAGGGAGTATATCATAGTCCGTGCGAGAGAAGTAGACGTACAATGTGGAACTATACTAATTTTCTTTGTGGACCTTGATTGTTTTTTTTTTTGAAAAGTCGAGATATGTTTAGTTTTTGATTTTTGATTATTGACTACTTATTGTTAATGACGATTGAGAAGTGTAGCTAGTTTTCACACTTGCTTTACGTTTCATATATGTCTTTCTATTTTTACACAGTTTATAATGTTGTGCATCTCGTATTTGGCGGGTCTACCTGACCCAATTTTGAGACCCGTTGGGTCCGGATTCGGGTCCAAATTTTAAGACCTATTGCATATACAGGTCGGGTCCGGATCTATTATTAACTTAGCGGTCCGGATTTGGGTCCAAATTTTAAGACCTGTTGGATATATATACAGGTCGGGTTCAGATCTATTATTACTTAGCGGGTCTGGGTCTGAAACACTACATTCTGTACTGGAATGTAAAGTTTCAAACTCAGACCCGACCCATTGACAGACCTACTATGAAGCATTAGATACCGCTACCATTTTGAACATAAAACCAAAAATCAAAGAGACTCTAAAGAATATCATTAATGAGGTGATATTTAGATTTATCGTCGGTTCTTAAAATGTTGTGTTATTTCAAATCCAACCGAATTAATTTTATTCAAGATAATAAATTTGTTATTTTACACTAACAAAGTATGAAGTTAATAAGGTCATCAACAAGGAGAGTAGTGATGTGGAGTTTAGTTCTAGACTTCTACAAAAAAAATGGGTCGTCCTGCCTGGCCCACGCAATTAATTTTATTCAAGAAAATAAATTTGTTATTTTGCACTAATAAAGTATCAAGTTAATAAGGTCATCAACAAGGAGAGTAGTGATGTGGAGTTTAGTTCTAGACTTCTACAAAAAATGGGTCGTCCTGCCTGGCCTACCCACCAGGCGCTGCTCAAACATGCGGGGTTGGGCATATATGTTTGCCCTCGGTCTAATACATTTATTAGGGGACGTATCAGGTATAAACAATGCTTATTGCGCAAATATTGCATGAAGAATCTTTATACTATAATTTGTATTGCATATTATCGCTCAAAGACAATTTTTTCAAGTTGTTATGCGTATGGATTCGAATGCATGTGATGCCTAGTTCAAGTGAGATATCAGTTTCATGTTAGATTCAAAAGGACTCATGGCAATACAAAAGTGATATATTAATTTCATGAATAAGGAGGTGTGATTCAAGTCATTTAGTGGTGCTAACATTTGTGCTAGTAAAGCTCGTCGCATTATAAAGGAGCAAGTAGACGGTTTTCAATTGTTAGATGTAGTCAAAAAGATTTTAAAAAATTCCAAAGACATTTAAAGACCTTTATCAAGAACTTTGATGCTCACATGTTAATTGATAACTTGAAGAGAAAAAAAAAAAAATTCTTCATTTTATTTTGCATATGAAGTGGATGATAATGGTAGATTGAGACATGTGTTCTGGACAGATAGTGTGTCAAGGAGAAATTGTGCTTTACATGGTGATGTGGTGTCATTTGATACGACTTATAATAGAAATAGATATAAGATTATTTTCACACCTTTTACAGGATTCATCACACTTGCTTCTGAAAAGCCAAAGTCTTTTGTATGGTTTTGGAAAATTAACTCCGGGATTTCTTGACTAGGTCAGAGATCGTATTAATTCCGTTAAGCCTCTTTATTTTTATTCATCTCCTTGCACAAGATTAAAAAATAGATTTAGACACATCTCTTTCCTTCTGTGATTGTTCAAACCGCTCTCGACCTTGGACAAGGTCACTTTCCCGAGCCCTTAACACATGCATGCTACTCCATTTTTTATGCATTAGGATGCATATGGACTCCCCATGACATTAGTGTCACCAATTGCCTTCTCTTCCTCTATCACTATTAAGCTCTTCACCCCCATTCATTTTCTTCTCTCCCTTTAACACTTTCTGGGATATTCATGTAAGTGGAAAAGGCAGTGGATATAAATAGTGACCGAAAATTGAAAGAAAGATTTTGAGATTCGATCTAACGATGAGAGATCTACATACACCTAATACACAGAGTTTTTTCCACTTTTGATCCTCCGACTATTATGTTATTGACTCTTTTAGTACTCGACTTTGATTTTTTCCATTTTTAGTCTTTGACTATTGCGCTAGAGACACTTCTGGTACTCGTCTTTGCAAATTTCCATATTTAGTCCTTCAACTTTCAATAAAGTGACATTTTTTGTCCTTCAACTATTATATTAGTGACATTTTTAGTCCTTCACTTTTTGTGTCAAATTCACAATGAGAGGACTAAAATTGTCAATTTGACAATACTCAGAGACTAAATGTAGGAAATCTTGAAGTCGGGGATTAAAAGTGTCTCTAGCACAATAGTAGAAGATTAAAAATGAAAAAATCAGAAGTCAAATACCAAAAATGTCATTGACATAATAGTCGAGGACTAAAAATGACAAAAACTCTAATACACACATGGATGAGATATGTAATTGGGTTGGGCAGAAACACTTACCGTGAATAGTGGAAAAAACGGATTTTTTTATGTATAAGTTAAAACTTTTTATTCATGTTATTTATTTATAAAGTATATCTTAAAGATGAATAGTAAAGACAAATACAAAAGTATTTTAATAGATATTAATAAATGTTTGGTTCAATTTATGATTTTTCAGTGTAAAACTAAACTAAACCAAACCAAGTCATTCTGTTTGCGCATATTGTTACCAAAGGATTTACTACAATTAACCCAAACTAAGCAAAATTATCTATCTTCGATTTGAGATGATTCAGTTGAATCAAAGAGTTTTGTTCACCCCTGTTACTAGCAATCTAAATTTAGCAAGAATAAAAAAAATCTGTCCACATTTGTCCAAATCGCAAACCAATAAAACCCAAAGGGAACAGTGCACCAATCTTTAAATGATTTAACCATAGATTGAATTTGAAACGAAAAAATCTTTTGTGCATACTACAGACTCCACCCCATAATTTAGCAGCAGCTAATTTACACAAAATCAACAAAAAACAATTAAAAACCAGCAGCTAATTCAGCAAAAAAAAGCCAAAAAACAGCACCTAGTCCAGCCAAACATTGACTAATCGGATCAGCATGGAGCTGCTAAAGGATCATTTGAAAGCAATCCTCACAAAAGCAACAAAGCAAGGAACTACATTTATAGTACTACGTATTAGTTAGATTTAAAAATAGACTGAACATATAAAACTAAAAATAAAAATGTCACTTTACCAAAATGCATGCGTTAAAAAGTTGGCATTTATGTCTGAGACATTTAATACATAATATTCTTTTTGTGATACCGATACTATGAAGTGATATTGTTAAAAAAAAATGAAGTGTCTAATCTACTACCAATAGAGATATTGTCAACATTGGATACAACTATAGCAAATGAAAGATTGAGCACCAAAAAAAGGAGCGATGGGAGGGGAACAAACAAATGCAAGGACAAAGGGTGCCAATGTTGACAACACTCATGATCAAGATTACACTCCCAAACCAACAATGTTCACCACTGTTTCACAATAATATAAGTAGTATGTGAGTAGGCATACAGTTACAGAGAGTCAAATATAGCAATTACTAATCTATTCGGAAGAAGAGAGCAACATGGTGGTGGGCCAGACAGAATGGAGGAGAGTGAAGGATGTAAGAAGCTCGTCTGGAGGCACGGAATGAAGGAGCTCGTCGACTTTCTCATAGACACCCTGTGAAATGTGATACTGGAAAACACCTCTGCCGCATATCAAGAAGACCACGTCCCCATCGTGTGGATGGAAAGCAACCGTACGGATGTTGAACTTGTTTTCTTCTTCTACTTGGATGTCTTTAGGAAGCGGAGGCCTATCATTGAAGCGTGTCTCATGAACAAGAGTCCACAAATTGGTAATGTGATTCAACTCCCAAACTTTGACATCAACAAGATGCGGAGGCTGCTGCTGGTCATTCGACGACGGGCAAAATACGTTGAATAATCTGAGTTCCCCCAGGACAGCGCCCAACTCTAGTGAAATAACACCCCCACCACCAGACATAGAGCCTTCAGGAAGGTTGATAAATGCAGTAGAGTGAGGATCGTTCGCCAAATCACAGGCAATGACGTAGTCAGGAGCCTCATCGCAATTTAACCAATAAATGGTTCCATTACAAGTGATTGGGTTAATGAACAACCTAGGGGCCCTACTTGTAGGAGGTAAAGGGTACCAAAACCAGGATTCAACATTCCATTGTCTTGATTTTGAACAATAAATTGACATTCTAAACTTCCAACTGTCCCTGGCAAAATCCTGATCTCCACGGGGAAAATGAATGAAAGCCACCTTGAATTCATAACTGCCGCAGCTGTTATTGGCAGGGGGAAGTGGTGGCATTCGTACCACTGCATACCCAATCAAGAAATCTCCGTAATAAACATGAGGGAGATGGAACCACTGTTTGGTTATTGGGTTACAAAGATAGTAGGAGTTTGGATTAGCACTATAGTCGCGTCCATCTAGCGATAACAGCAGCAAGTCACTGCAAGATGCTCTTATGATCATGTTGGGTGAAGGCGGATGGATGCCACCACTGTCGCCTTGAGGAGGATAACTTTTACATGATGTCGCCATCTCCTCCTTTCCTCCCCCGTGGAGAACCACAGATTCCTCCGAAAAGAGTTTGCAGATGGGCTGATAATACTCATGTCCAATATGTTCAAAATAATCTACTATGCGGAATATGATGGAATACGGCCGCTCTATCTTCTTTTGCTCCCGGAGGCCTAAAAACCTGGGAATGAACTGCTGCTGAGAGATGATGGAATGCCAAAGGTGACACACCAAGCCTGCATGAATTGCATTTCGACTATTTGGCAGCCTAGCTAGTATCTCCAGCAATACGTCATCATTGACACTCTCCTTCAACCAGTTCGGGCCCTCTGCTACAGCTCAAAGCAATAACCACACACATCAAGATTAATATTTATTTATTTTGTCCTAAATAATCCGCCATCAACCATTAATACTATCTTTTTATTATTGATTACCTAGATTAGCAGCACTCATGCCTTCACCATCTTCTAAACCACTGGTTTTGCTGTACTTTTTTTTATTAGAAAGCTCTGTTGTTGTTCCAATTAAATGCAAAAACAAACAAACAGACAACAACAATAAACAACAGCAACTACTCGTAAGATTTAATTTTTAATTTTTTATAAGAAGACCAGATCTCAAAATACTAATATAAACCTGAAACTCGTGACCTTCGCCGTTGAACAGCCTCTTTGCCATGAATCGATGTTTTTCTTCTCAGTTCTCCCCAAGAAGTTAGGGTTTGGTACAGCCCAAAAATTTGTCACCTCCGATCCTTGAGATATGGAATGGTTTCGAGCTTTCCCTTGTCAACGTTGAATGATGATAGATAAAAAAATGGTTCGGACTTTTTAATCTTTTCTCAAACAACATTCATTTATAATATTACTACCTCCCTCCCTCTTACATAGGACGGAGTATATCTTATACGGAGTATCTTATACGGAGTACTATCCTTCGTCTCTTTTTAATCGCAACATGTTGAATTTTACACTATTCACATGTTCTACTTTGACTACATTTTATATTATTATTTTATGAAAATTATTATTTTTAAATTATATTGTTCAATTCATCTCATTACAAATTTTCAAAATCTAATTTTTAAATATTTTTTAGTAATAGGGATTAAGATATAATTATGGTCAAAGATGTGCGTTGGCAAGTGTGAAATGTTGACCGTTGCAACTAAAAAAGAACGGAGGAAGTACTCCGTATTGAATAGAAAACCACACGATTATTAAGAAAACCACACCATATTAATTTTATCAAATATGATATCAGACAATTTTAGTGAGATTTTCTGAAAAAGGTAAAATGGGATAATATTAGGAGAACCAGAGCGAGTTGCTTGATTTCTATTAATGGTTTGATGGATTTTGATGTGTTTTATATCTGGTTTTACTTACTTTTAAAGTTTTCTTTAAATTATTTTTTTATCACTATTTTTAATTTTTATTTTTAAAAAATTGTTTTAACTTTCTCTTTATTTTGTTACCATAATTTTATAAATTGAAATAGCTTTATTTATTATTCTCTTTTATTATAATGTAAAATACGATTATCCTACGGAGTATTAAATAATGATAAGGATAGAAATGTAGAATAAGAAAATAGCTGGTACTTTAGTCCTATTTTGGGAAGATAAATAACATAGTCCTATTTGTGCATTTAGGGATTAGCTTAGTCGTATTTTGGGGGCTCTTTCTGTTCCTCAAAACTTTGTCAAGTTTTATTGTCATAAAAAACATAAAGTAATAACTGTGATATTGAGGTTTGTGTAGAGGAGAGATAAATATTACGTACCACAAATTTATTGTTCAAAGGGGAAAGTGACAAAGTTTTTGATACAATAAATAAAATGAAGATGACAAAGTTATAAGGGAGGGAGGGAGTATAAGTTAAATTGGGGTAATGTCCAGTGGAGGAGCTGGGGAGGAGAATGAGGGGGCAAGCGCAAAAAAATTAGAAGTACTACTTATAATATATTTAATGCATGCATCCCTTCTTCTTTAATTTTCAAAAATCAATGCCAATTAACATTAACTTTAGATTAAGTGTTAAAATAAAAGCCAAAATCTTTCAAGAATCGTGCTCATCTCTAGGAATACAAATATTGACTGCAACATACCACACTCATTTGAATGCAAGTGTGCATTGTTTTAGACCTTTAATGACACACGAGTTGGCTTTTCATGGTTATATTGAGCAAGAAAGTATTGAGTTTGACGAATATGTTGTCACATTTCTTGCAATGAAAAAATCAAAACATTCTCGAGACTATGCTGGATTCCCTCAGTGAAGAAATTAATGAGAATTTTATAATTTACAGTCTTACAAAGATGTCTAAGATTCTCTATATGTGTGTAGAGAAGTATTGAATGTTCTAGAATAATAATGTAGAGTTTTCTAGAGAAGTGTGGAACTCACTAAAATCGTGTGGAAGTGTGTGAAAGCCTTTAGAACATTTTGAAGAATTGTGAAGGTCTCTAAATCCTTCAAGAAAATTAGAGAAGTTTGTGGATACTTTTTGGAAGAATCTAGATGTGTAGTGATGTATAAAAAAATTCTAGAGAAGCTTTGATGAGATCAATATATAGAAGTTTTCTATTTCTATGAGAACCTTGATGAGAGCTCTTGAGTGATTGAAAGTGAGTCTCCTTGAGAGAGGAAAGTGAGAGCTAACCTTCTTGTGAAAGAAGAAGACTCAAAGATATCGCTTGATGAAGTGTATATGATCATGATCGAGTTAGGTAGAGTAAAATATTCTCATATACAAAGAGTGAATGTGGATAATAGAAAGTGATTTTGTCAGATTGGGTCTTTGTATTGTGAGTGTGTGGATAAGTGTACAAGAGTCTATGAGCTCATGATCCTGGAAAAGACCGGGAGTCGTGTTTTTCCAACATGAAGTTATTATACAACATTTTGAATTATACGAGTCAAAATTGTGCTAACGTGATCTACCCAGAATGTAGATACGAGTCAAGCAATATGTAATACACTAATTTGTGCTAAAGTATGACACGTTTATTGTTTTTATTATATTTTGAGCAATTACACAATAATTCTTAGCCTTCGGTACGCCCCTGCTTCGAAAAATCTCTGATACCGCCACTGGTAATGTCGATGTCCATTCTTTTTAGATAAATTCCAAATTATAAGTGTTGTTTAATCTATTTCATTTTGGTCATGAATTTCATGATTTCTATTCGTTGTTTTTTTAGTTTGGGGTGTTTGTTGGTTAAATAAAATTGGAATTTTAAATCGATTGGATGTAGGAAAAATTGAAAATAATAATCCCAACTATTGCCGGTCCGCTGAAAATAATCCCAACTATTGATTATTTTTGTATAATCCCAACTATATAGATTGTCCGCCAATAATGGTCCATGACCAGATATTACCTCTATAAAAAGTGAATTTTAAATAGAAATTAAGCGTAAAAATTAAAATTTGAGATTATTTATAGGGATTACTTGTTATATCTCATCTCATCCACTTTAGAAACTACAAGAATTTATTCATCGAGACCATTATTGGCGGAAGGTCCCTAAAGTTGGGATTATTCTGGAATAATCAATAGTTGAGATTATTATGAGCGGACTGCCAATAGTTGAGATTATTACTATCAATTTTGCCAATAGATAGATCTCGTTAGGTGTGTTCCCGTCACTTTTTTAGGAGATGATAAATGTCTAGCGTCAACTCAAGTGTTATTCATGAAATCCTGTTTCGAACTAACAACTCTAATAATATGGGTCAAAGTTCCGATATTTTTACATTTTTTTAAAATCTAAGTTTTAAAGTTGTTATCCAAATTTATTCTTACAATTTATGCTAATTTGTACGGTTTTGTAATCTAAAATTTATAGAAGCCCAATTTTAAAACTCAGGTTAGAAACTTTGGTCATCTAATGCTTATACAATGACAAATTAATACTCTCTCAGTCCCATTTTGTAAGGTACCTTTCCTATAAATACTCTCTCATACGAAATCTCAACTGATCAAGTTTTTCCGACCTTTTTTATACATTTGGATGTTAGGACTTTTAAATCATAAATATTTGTAAAAAAAGTTTGAAAAAATGATGTATAGTTATAAAAGTAAGGCTTTAATTAAAAAAATGTCGGGTGAATATATTGACAGTACTGAATTGTAGTAAGAATTGAATTGATGAATTGAACACGAATAAATTGGTGGGAAATTTGACAGGACTGAATTGTAGTTAGTCTTGATACATTCTTATTTTCTTTAGCTAACTTCATGTTACTTGACAGGTACTACGAGCATTCCCAAACAACTATAGCTACAATACCCATTTGCAATAAATGCCATCAGAGTTGCATCGTTTTAGAAAGAGAACAATTGTTTTTAGAGGGAAAATGATGTTTGTACCCACTTTTATACCCACTTTTGTACCCACCCATGTTTGTGAAGTTATTTTGTTTTGTCTGTGAATTCATTCACAGACAAAATATGTCCGTGAAGGAATTCAAAGACATATTTTGTCTGTGAACCGGCTTCACAGACAAAAAAACAGCCTTCACAGAGGTGAGTATAAGGTGGGTACAAAGTGGTGGGTATAAGAAGCATGGTTCTTTTTAGAAAGAGAACAATTGTGACATCACAACTTTTGGCGATTTTCACTATCTGTCAATGTCATTTCATAGTATTTCACCATTATCATATTTCCTCTGATGCCCCATTTTTACACATGAAAAGTTATACGTGACCATCTCGAGAATCATAAACTTAGGGAGTGTTTGCAACTGCTTCTGCTTAAAAAAAAGCACTTTTGGAGATGTAATGAAAAAGTGATTAGTAGTAAAAGTTGATAGTGTTTGAGAAAAAAGTGATTTTGAAAAGTAAAAGTTGGTAGTGTTTGGTAAAATAAGTGCTTTTTGTGTAATAGAAAAGGGAAAAGCACTTTTCACACGCAAGCCGAGAAAAAGTAAAAATTAGAAGTGTTTGGTAAATAAGTGCTTTTTAAAGCCAAAAGCTGAGAAGTGCTTTTTTTAAGCTATTGCAAACACTCCCTTATATGAGTTGAAGTTTGTGACATATGATAAAGATGGACTATAGACTAAGTCTGCGTTAAATTTTTTAAATAAAAAGTTCATAATAATTTATAGTTTTCTTTCATAATTTTGTGAACTTGCATGCACACCTATTTTAGGGTATGATGTTTTACATTTTATTTTGTACTTTTCTATTAAACTATCATAAAGTAAGAATAATGACATGGAATTTGGCACATGAGCCTTCTTAAACAAACTCGATCTCCCAAACAATTTTGGCACGGTCTTAGAACGGGAATCCCTGACCTTCAAAATGTTTGGAACACCATCTTAGTTTTGTGCCAACATTTTAACGAGGCACAGTTAAATGTTCCGATTATTTTTGACACAACGTCGGTCGTGCCATAAGCATGTCAATTTGATTGGGATTTGAATGTCGGCCGTGCCATAAGCATGTCAATTTGATTGGGTATTTAAATGTTAGCACGTAAATTCTTAGCCTACAGTATGACTCTGTTTATATATTTGAATATTGGCACGGCGTGTCCTTGCCGATTTTATTGTTTTGAAATTTAAATTTTGAATTTTGACACGGATAGTCTATGCCAAATCTTTTACCAAAGTGTTTAGCAAAAGAATTTGGATTATATAGAATAACCCAAAAGTGTTTAGCAAAAGAAACTGTATATAAAAGAAATTGTATTACATAGAATAACCCAAAAGAGTAGCAAAAAAGACTAAACAATGAAATTACATATCTTGGCCATTCGGGCACTTTCATTTCTTGGGTGCCAAAGAGGAGATAATGAAGAAATCATTGACATTCAGAGATGCGTCAGAGGGTTGGTCAGGTTGGG